GTTATGTAAGATCTTTTTCGACGTTCCAAAGTAAATATACGGTGCTAAGACCACCTAAAGATAAGTCTGTCACACTTTTTGGGACACAATAGCTCTCTTTCTCATTGAGCTAGAATGTTCAAACTTGGTATAGGTGTTTATTAGGTCATTGCCTTGATGGAGTTCGAGGATGAGCATTTTCTGCTTAGAGTAAGCAGAGATAAGCAATTTGATTGGTTGATGCTTTGAGGCACGATAACATCAAGTTTTAATTAAGTGAGAGTGATGAAACGCCGAGTATAGATTTATTATATCATTACTTTGACTAAGTTCAATGATGAGAATTCTCTGCTTAGACTAAGTAGCGATAAACAGTTTGATTGGTCAAGACTTTGGAACATGTTTAAACTTGATGTAGATGTTCATTAGGTGAAGGGGGGTTGGATGGCTGAATGGTTAGCGTGCGCGCTCTGTATCATAAAGTCTGTCATTGAGTCGACTGGCGTGGTTTCGAATCCCCGGTTGTACATGACAAGGAGTAGGGTCGCCTGTCCAACCTCGTGGGTTTTCTCCGGGGCCTCCGGTTTCGTCCCACTGCTAAAGACCCCTATGCGCAAGCGAATTATTGAAATAAAATTAAACCATATGTTAGTCCCGAAATGACCTAGTTTGTGTCGAGTGGACGTTAAACCCCATTTCTCTCTCTCTCTCTCTCTCATTAGGTGAATGTCTTGACTGAGTTCAATGATTAACATTTCGAGCTAAAGCTAAGCAGAGATAAAAAATTTCATAGGTCGATGCTTTGGGACAAGATAATTTTGATTCTATCTGATAGAGAGTGATGAAACTTAGTGTATAGTTTATAATCAGTTTGATTGCTTGATACTTTTGAAAAAAATAAATGTGCTATTAATCAATATTGTGTCATCTATTTATTTTGGGATTTCGGTGGGGGACATCAGCCTCACTGTTGGCTTGTTTTTTTAGCTCGTTCTCTGTCCATCTCTTGCAAAATGTGGGCGTATCTTGCATGGCAACCGCTTGTTATAGAAAAGAGGTTGTATATTGTTGAGGCTGCATTGGGGCCTAAAGTTCTCATCGCTGTTGGTTAATACAAATTTGGCGTCCAGTGCATTGTAATATGGTATTATAGACAGATTTATCTAATTAAGTTATTTACATATGAAATGGGGTTTAACGTCCTACTGTTCTGCTCCTATGCTGAGCTAATGAAGACGGGCATACGCCATACAGTGTGCTATGAGGGAAATTTTGCCCAGGCAGCGGCACTATCGCCTACTCTTATATCGAATTCCAACTGCCAAGGAATCTTTTATGTGCATTCTAATGTATACACAGGACCTCAGTTTTTCGTCTCATCCGAAGGACTAGACAGCTGTCCTTGTCAGGCCCTCCGTCCTGCATCACTGACAAGGGGGAACCACGCCGGAAAATCTCGATGAACTTTCTCGGCCAATGCAGGGATCGAACACTCTACTTCCGGGCTAGCGAGCCAGCGTCTTACCCACTTAGCCACGTGATCCCCTATTTACATATGAAGGTGTAATATAAAAAAAGGAAAGTGGGTAAAAAAAAAACATTTAAAAAAACAAGTTCTTGTATATCAAAGTGTCACTTTAACACACGGTGTTAAAATCGCTGTCATGAGAAGAGAGGGCGAATCATCTTCTCCCTTTGTCATAATAAAAACTAGTTAAAACAGAAGGTCCAGGTGATTGATGTTTGGTGTCATCAGTGCAGATAGAAAATAAACCGGGGGTGGGTGAGAATCCACTTGTTTTATGCGGAAAAAGCAAAGTTCTCGCAGTAAAAACCACACAACTCATGGATAATTTATATATTAAAAACTGTTTGTACAATTATTTCCATATAGTTCAAAATTTCAAGTCCTTTAAACTGTCCATTAAAGTTTTCCTTGTTGTGGATGACTTTTTCCAGACAGAAGTTACCAGAAAAGTTCTCATTCGATCGTCTTTAGTTTTATCCATGAGGCAAAGAAGCGTATTGATTTTCAATTTAATAAATCTTTTTGACACTGTAGTCGGTAAAGCTATCATTCGATTGACTATAATTGATGCACTCTTTCCATCTGGCCCTTGATTTATTTGAAAAATGTCTGGACGCTCTAGATGTTAAAGTGATCATCCGGTTGACTTAAAATTTATAAATATTATTACCGCCCTTGATCACTTTTAAAAATCTAGTGGGTTCTCTAGAGGCTATAGTGATCATACAATTGACTTTGAGCTTATGAAACGAAGAATCCTATTGTTTTTCAACTGCCAGACTTATGGCCATTGATCATTGCGATAAATCTTGTTGTTATCTAGAGGGTAAAGTTATCATCCGATTGTGTGAAATTTATTCACACTTACGTTATTGTCCTTGATCTTGTGGATGCTCTAGAGACCAAATAAAGTTATCATCTAATTGACTTAAAATTTATTTACATTGGTTACGGTCATGAATCTTATTGATGTTCAGCAATTTTAGGTAACTACTGCCAGATTTATGACCCTTGATCACTTTGAAAATTTCTTTCCGATTGACTTGAAGTAATTACACAGTGTTTATAACAATAAGAGGATACTTTGAAACGTCGTGCTTTTAGAATAAACCAGTGATTGTTTCCCATAAAATCTGTGTTCTGTTTATGTCAGGGCTCACACTGGCCTTCAATTTTTTTCTGCCAAAATGAATGATTATTTTTATATAAAAAATGTTCATATTTTTTTTCCGCCAACTGGAAATTTTATCTGCCAAAAATGTGTGATAAAAAAGACAACATCTAACGATTTTATGTCTCAGCTAGGCTTATTAATATTGTAAAAAAATTACCGATATATACAATACAATATACAACAACTTTGGATTTAATAAGATCCTTTTTTTTTGGTGACTTTAGTCTATTTGAACACCGTACTGCACTATATATTTTCAGTATTTACATGTCAGATCTCATTCAAGGATTGCCAATTTTCTATAAATTTATGTGTTGCGTGTACAATAGGCCTATAGTTAATTTCAGGTACTGTAAAGGTATCAGAATCTGAATCGCTGATAGAAAGATATAAATTTTGATTTTATTTGTAAGATGCTTACAATTATACCAGTCGTTCACCTTTAGAGCATTTTGGCGATATGATACATATGGCGAAATGATTTCTCGCTCAAAAGAATCGCCAGTACTGCAAAACATTATCGCCAAAATTATCACCAAAATCAAATTTTAATCGCCACTTTCATATTTTTATCGCAAATTGCGACTTTGGCGACCGACAGCGTGAGCCCTGGTCTATTTGTTTTCCAATTGCTAAATGCCACTTAAAGATTATGTTTATGTGAAGAAGCCTATTGATTTTAAGCGATCTTTCAATAACTCAGAAAGCTAAATTTATCATCTGATTATCTGCAGACCTACTTAATGGATTGTTACTCTTGATAAGCTTTTATGTGATGGATAATGGCCGAAGATTGTCCATTATGTAAATATAAAGAACAACTGAGGGGCGTTAGCCCCAAAGTTTTTCTTTGTATTTACATAATGGACAGTCGGAGGCTATTATCAAACTTGAAACATAGCACCATAGAGATACAAATAATGGATAGTTTTCTAAAACAACAAGCCATAAAATAATGGATATATTCTTAAAACAACATGCACATGCTCATGAATGCATGTGACAAAACACTCCAGTCATACAAAGCAAGCATACACAGACAATCCAAAATATTCTACATGGAGACGACATGTTTACAACACAGTCGAAAACAAATATTAATAATGAGAATATATTATGTGATAAGCATTTGGATACCGATTACATTGGTAATGTACTTGATATGGAAGATAATAGCCGTAAAAATTGTGATGTTCTTGATGTGTGGGATAATAGCCGCAAAAGTTGTGATGGAAAAGCTGCTCAGAGAATGATTTAGATATTGATAATTTTCTTAATACTGTAGTTAATATGGAGGGTACTAGCCCTCCATACTCTGATATAAGTGACAGGACACAGGATCAAAGGCACAAACCAATTCACGAAATTCAAACTCAACTGTCATTATGGTGTAATGGTGATATATTTGAACGTTTTTTATAATCGGATAAAAATTGTGACCTGCATAGGTTCCACAGGCTCAAAACACGTTTTTTTTTGTTCAATCCAGGGCCATAATCCAGGAAGTTACGGTCCGATGCGCCAATATCGCAATGAATCGATATCTTTGGATTATAAACACACGTTAAGTTTCACCTTAATGGGCTAATAATTGTGACCTCTAGTGTGTACTGTCATGGGCCGTAATCCACGAAGTTACGGTCCCATACAAGCCAATATCGAAAGGAACCGAGATCTTTAGGATATATACATATATTTCAAGTTATGACCTATAGAGTGTCCACAAAGAAGATGTGAAAATGTGGGCGTATAAAAACGTATCATCGATCTAGTGCCGAACGTACTATTAAACGGATAAGTGACATGTAACGGACGGATTTAAGTGGAATTCTTTATGTAGACAACACGTGAAATCAACATTCGGTCATGTGACATTTCGGTAACTATGAGGTTTTAAAGTAATTTCATGTTCTGTAATTTAATTTGTTCAGAGAATAAATTATCCCAAAATACATATTCATTTTTCAGATACGTGTCTATTATTGGTATTTTCTTAAACAATCGTCTATTATTTATAAAAGTGTCCATTATTTATAAAAGTGTCCATTATTTATTGAAAATAATGGACAGTTTTATAAATAATAGACGATTGTTTAAGAAAAGCGTACATTCTCCTATATAATGGTTAAAAATATCAAAGGGTGACGTCATATCTATGTTTTAATGTCTTGTAAATGCTCACAACACCCATAAAAGAGTAAATATTGTGATGGTTTGGACATCTTATCTGCTGTGGGGCTATGTTTTGTAGTAGTTTACAATTACAGGCTAAATAAAAAATATTATGGTTGAAATAATGTTTTCTTCTTTTTCTTTCAGTCTGAACGTAAACCTCCTCTTCCTCCACGAAATCGTGATTCCTCACGGAGCAGAAAAATACTATCCGAACTTTCACGTGATAAAGTTTGACAGCACCAGAGAAATGTTTGAGGGGGTTTTTTTCAAATACCTTAAAGGGGTGTGTGGCAGGAAAGTTAATAATGATGTTAATAATAATGATGATAATGTGAATCAACATGTACATAAACTATGTACATTGTAGATCAGCCTCCGGTATTCAGTGAAAGCAATGGTTATCTGTTTTCTTACTAACTGTGTTTTACGTTTAGTGCAGTTTCAACCAATCACAATTGATGGATTTAGTTTTCATTTTTATACGCCCACATTGAAAAGTGGTCGTATATTGTTATCGCCCCCCGTCTGTCCGTTGTCCGCTGTGGACGCTCTAGAGGCTTAAAGTTAATATCCGATTGACTTTCAATTTATACACAGTGTTTAAGCTCATGAGACAAAGAATCCTATTGATTTCACCAATTTCCGATAATTACTGCCAGAGTTTTGGCCCTTGATCACTTTGAAAAATCTTGTGGACACTCTAGAGGCTAAAGTTAATATCCAATTGACTTCAAATTTATATACAGTGTTTAAGGTCATGTGACAAAGACGCCTATTGATTTTCAGATATTTCCGATAATTACTGCCAGAGTTATGGCCATTGATCACTTTGAAAAATCTTGTGGAACGTTCTCGAGGCTAAAGTTAATATCCGATTGACTTTATATTTATACACATTGTTTAAAGTCATGAGACAAAGAAGCCTATTGATTTTCAACGATTTCTGATAATTATTGCCAGAGTTATGACCCTTGATCACTGTGAAATATCTTGTGGATGCACTAGAGGCTAAAGTTAATATCCGATTGACCTTGAATTTATATACAATGTTTAAGGTCATCAGACATAGAAACCTATTGATTTTCAACGATTTCTGATAATTTTCAACGATTTCCGAGTTATGGCCCTTGCTTACTTTGAAAAATTTTGTGGATGCTTTAGAGACCATAGTTATTATCTGATTGATTTTATATTTATACACCATGTTTACGCCTATATATAATCGTTTTGATTGGCTTTAGATTGATACACAGAGTTTAAGGGCTTGAGACGAACAAGTACATGTATATTGATTTTGAACGATTTCCGATTATCGTGAAAAATCTTGTGGATACTTTATGACCATAGTTATCATCTGATTGATTTTATATTTATACACCATATATACTCCTATATATAATTGTTTTGATTGACTTTGGCTTGATACACAGAGTTTAAGGTCTTGAGACAAACAAGTACCTGGTATATTGATTTTCAATGATTTTTGGTAAGTTGAACATCTAAATCCATGGTATTAAATGTTTTGTATACTAATCGTTAGCATAGGCCAAACAAATTCTAATGATTTTCTGATAATTACGTAATGAATTGTTACTCTTAATCAGATTTTAGTGTATTATAAATGTTTCATTACCAATAAAAGGAAACATATGCCACAACTCGTGTTGACTGCCCAGATGATTTAGCTGCTGTGGACGTATGTTTCGTTGCCTGGCAACCTATCTTTAAAATTATTTTTTAAATTTGAAAACTGATAGAATAATCATAAATTTTGAAAATAATTTTAGTGAAATTTGTGAAAGAAATGTTAAAAGTTTGGATCAAGTACTGCATAGACCAATTTGTTTTATGTTCATACGTAGTTTGAGCTATATAGTTGTCACACTGTCAACAATTGGCTTGGCACAAATTCTGTCAATATTTAGAGTTCCGTGATGTTTCTGTCTAGAGTTATCCCCCTTTTTCCAAAAATATTTTTGAATATAATGGAATCTAGAGTTTATTTCACAGATTCGTTTCAAATTTAGTGTGAAGCATTGTGGTCATGAGAGGACAAACTCTGTCAATATTCAGCATTCACAGACCTTCTGTTCAAGAGTTATCCCCCCTGTGTCTCAAACCTTGTGAACACAATAAACACCTTAGCATTGAATAGATTCTTTTCAAATTTGGTTCCAACTTGTGTGTCCTCTGGTTTCCACCCACTGCTAAAGGCCACTACGCGCATGCGAATTATTTAGATAAAATTGAACCATATGTTAGTTCCAAAATGACCTAATTTGTGTTGAACGGACGTAAATATCTCTACAGTTCTTAACAAAATCTTCAGGGGAGGATGAACCCTATTGAAATGCATGATCTTCCTACCAGAGTTACGGAAATGTGGTCATATATTGAAATTTATATATATATATATATATTGTAAAAGATTAAGTAGAAAATACCATTAAAGAAATTTTATTTAAATGCCTAAATGTTTCGAGAGTAGGTTTTCAAGGCAATAATAGATAATGGCGTTATGTCATTATGTAGCGTCATTAAGGAGAGATAGTTACAATAATTTTTCATAAAAATTAAAACAAAATAATATCACTGCTTAAGTTTGGGTTTGAATTTGTTTATAAAATACTCTTCTTTAACTCTTAATTTTGTGATATTATTATCAGACAGTTTATAAAAGGGGAAAATATGAAAATGTGGCGATTTATTTTTAGCACCAAGAAAACGGAATGGAAATACAAATCAGGACTCGAACATGGTGAACAAGAACACGGATAGAGGTAAACAATATTTCAACGTGAAAAATAATAGCCATAACAAGTCCACCCTAAACAGGAATTTAAAAACTAATGATAATAAAATAGAAACAGATATTTTTTTTATAAAAGTATGGACACCAAACAATATTTATATTTTGACTCTTGTCATCCGAGTCATACCAAAAAAGCATTGCCTTACAATCTTGCAAGGAGAATCTGTACACTCGTCTCAAATCCTTTAACTTTAGATCTCAGATTATCCGAATTACGAACCTTTCTACATGAACGTAAATACCCATTAACTTTAATCAATGACAGCATAAAGCGGGCGAAGGCATTTGATATTTTAGAACTTAGAACAGTGAGACCAAAAAGAAAAAAAGAAAAGTGCATACCATACATCTCCACGTACAATCCTCTGAGATAACTTTGCTCTATTGAGACGTAGTGAACGAATGAACAAAATCTTTAGTGAATCAAAGTTCATTCCTTCAAAGCGCCAACCACCGAGCCTAAAAAAGGTGCTAACAAGAGCAAAATATGATAAGTCTCGAAACAGAGTATGCGGTAACAAAATGTGGACGAGGAAACTGTGGAACGTGCAATTACTTGATTGAAGGCAATTCTTTTAACTTTAATAATTTTTCATTTAAAATAATAGTAGTATGACATGCTCTGTCACATATGTAGTATATGTAATTACATGCCTTGGGTGTAATGAATTATACATTGGATCCACAAATGAATTACAGAAGCGTGTGACAGTACATAAACAGCATAAAAAAGAGGAAATATACCGCAAAATCCATTTAGTGGGCATATCGTGGAGTGTGCTAAAAATAAATCGCCACATTTTCCCCTTTTATAAACTGTCTGATAATAATATCACAGAATTAAGAGTTAAAGAAGAGTATTTTATAAACAAATTCAAACCCAAACTAAACCAGTGATATTATTTCGTTTTAATTTTTATGAAAAATTATTGTAATTATATCTCCATAATGACGCTATATAATGACGTAACGCCATTATCTATTATTGCCTTGAAAATCTAACGGCGAAACATGTAGGCATTTAAATAAAATTTCTTTAATGGTATTTTCAACTTAATCTTTTACAATGTATGATATCCTTTTACGGTAAGCACCCTTTTATATATATATATATATATATATATATAAAATAGTTAAAACTAGAAACACGTAGATCTAGCAAAGCATGAGCGCTTTCATCTTTAATCTTCAGATGCTTTACATAGTTTACATATGTGACGTCATAAATGGCATTGTTCTATAATGACGCATTGTTCTATTATGACGTCATGGTATCGGGAGATAATTGTATTAGTCTGTTTAGCTTTGGTTTTAATGTTTTTATGAAATGTTTTTCTTTCTCTCTTCTTTCAATAGTGTCGTTGGAGAATAGTTTATAAAATGGAAATATCTTAAAGTTCTTTTTTCCGCAAATATCCAAATATTCACTAAGTTTAATCTTCCTGTACTCTGGAACATTTAAATGTTGTTTGTGCACACGGACCCGGGCTCTGAGGGTGTTACCTGTTTCTCCAATGTAATATTCGTTGCAGCCAGAGCATGTTATAACATAAACCAAGTTTTTGGATTCGCATGTCATATTGGCATTAACGGTAAACTCTTTTGGTCCAAAGCATCTGAAGAATAAAGATATGAAGTGCTCATGCTTTGCTAGATCTACGTGTTTCTAGTTTTAACTATTTTTATATATATATACCGGACACTGAGAATTTGAAATCCTTTTAATATATATATATGTATTGTTTACGTTAGAATTTCAGAAATTTCTGTTATTAACTTCTAGAGTTATGGCCATTGTTTCACTTTGTTGAACCTTGTGAACAGTGTGTTGATCTGTATGAAATTTATATGCATTGTTTAGGGTACCAAATCAAAAATTTCAACAATTTCCATTAATTACTTCTAGAGTTATGGCCCTTGTTTCACTTTGTACTGTTTGAACGCTCCATTGACAAAAGTTATCATCCGATATGTATGGAATTTATATGCATTATTTAGATCAATAAAACTAAGAAGCTTGTGGAATTTCTGTTACTTCTAGACTTATGGTCCTTGTTTCACTTTGATGAACCCCCTTGTAAACACTCCAATGACAAAAGTGATATATTGTCGTCGCCCCTGTCCGTCCATCCACAATTTGTGTATGGACACAATTTTTATCCGCCCACATTTTTATGTGGACGTATATTGTCGTCGCCCCTGTCCATCCGTCCACAATTGTTTGTGAACACTCTACAGGTCACAATATTTATCTGATTTCAATGAAACTTGAAATATAGGTTTATCACCCTAAGATCTCGGTTCCTTTCGATATTGGCATGTATCGGACTGTAACTTCATGGATTATGGCCCTCCTTGATTGTATAAAAAATCACGTTTTTAGCTTGTGAACACTGTAGAGGTCACAATTTTTATCCGATTTTGTTTAAACTTGAAATGTATGTTTATAACCCACAGATCTCGGACCCTTTCGATATTCGCGCATATCGGACCATAACTTCCTGAATTATGGCCCCTGATTGTACGAAAAATCGTGTTTTTAGCTTTTGGACCCCATAGAGGTCACAATTTTTATCCGATTTAAAAAAACGTTACCATATATGACCATTTCACCCTAAGGATGGTTGAGTTCGAATTTCGTAAAAATTGGATCAAAACTGACGAACAAAATGGCCGCCCCTCATTCGCAAATAGAGTCAGAATATTGTGTATCAGGGTTGGGGACCCTCTGGAGGTCCCGATTTTCATCTGATTTTGATGAAACTTGAAATGCATCTTTATAACCAACAGATCTCGGTTTCTGTCGCTATTCACGCATATCAGACCATAACTTCCTGAATTATGGCCCCTGATTGTACGAAAAATCGCGTTTTTAGCTTGTGGACCCCATAGAGGTCACAATTTTTATCCAATTTAAAAAAACGTTTGAATATATCACCATTACACCCCAAGGATGGTTGAGTTTGGATTTCATGAAAATCAGACCAAAACTGCTGGACAAAATGGCCGCCCCCCGTACGCAAATAGTGTAAACATCTGGTAAATCAAAGTTGTGGACCCTCTAGAGGCCACAATTTTGATCCGTTTTGATGAGACTTGAAATGCAAGTATATAACCCAAAGATATCGGTTCCTTTCAATATTCGCTCATATCAGATCGTAACTTCCTGAATTATGGCCTGTGATTGTACGCAATTTCGCGTTTTTAGCTTGTGGTCCCTCTGGAGGTCACAATTACTATTCGATTTAAAAAAACGTTCGAATATATCACCGTTACACCGTAATGTTTGTTGAGTTCGAATTTCATGAAAATCAGGCCAAAACTGCCAGACAAAATGGCTGCCCTTTGTTCGCAAATAGTGTAAACATCTGATAAATCAAGGTTGTGGACCCTCTAGTGGTCACAATTTTGATCCGATTTCGATGAAACTTGAAATAATAATAATCATATAATAACTATTCTGTACACAGGAAGTTTATAATTTCATTAAGTTTACTTACATCTTGGTTTTTGTGATACTGACTATCTCACATCAATATAAAATCGCTGATACAACCAGCTTTTATCTTATCATCATCACTACTCAAATTAGTATCTTGTGTATTAACAATATTTAATAATTCTGATAATTTGTTTGTATTAAAATGTACATCTTCTTTGATTGGCATTTAGTAATTGAATATATTAACCCAAGGTACAATTTTATGGATACACAATTACTGAGTTTGATACTAAGCGACGTTTCGACGAGGAGACTCTCGTCTTTATCAAGCAAATGATACAAATATGTGAATTGTGGGTAAATATATATACAGAACATGCAACAAAGATAACAATAAATGCAATTAAAGCAACATATTTATTCAGATTATACTTATAGCAAATGAAATTAATATTATTACATATTGTAGACTGACTTCCGTGTAGATAAATTTAATAAACCCCTTATGAAGTTGTGCTTCAATTGAGAAGTCATTACAAAACAGAACATGCAACAAAGATAATAATAAATGCAATTAAAGCAACATATTTATTCAGATTATACTTATAGCAAATGAAATGAATATTATTACATATTGTAGACTGACTTCCGTGTAGATAAATTTAATAAACCTCTTATGAAGTTGTGCTTCAATTGAGAAGTCATTACAAAACAGAACATGCAACAAAGATAATAATAAATGCAATTAAAGCAACATATTTATTCAGATTATACTTATAGCAAATGAAATTAATATTATATTGTAGACTGACTTCCGTGTAGAGCCTGCAAGGCGCATATACGGGTACATTCATTATTACATTTTATAATACTGCAGATAAATTTAATAAACCTTTCATGAAGTTGTGCTTCAATTGAGAAGTCATTACAAATATGATGTAATAAACTATTATGTGCTCGTTGTGATACATTTGGCAAATCTTCTTATGCTTTTTCTCCAAGCACAATAAAACCTTTCAACTGATTTATGGGAGAAATTATGGCGGGCTTTAAGGGCCAAAACTAAATGTAAGTTGAAAGTGTTATTATACATCATAGAAAATATCTAATACCTAAGATGCAAAATACATATGTCGTTATACTTATAATGATGAATACATAATACTGTTAAAGTAAAAGTCAAATGTCAAATT